CTTCCTCGGAATTGCAAAGTCCTATCTGGCACTTTTGGCCATTTTGGCCTACTATACTAAGACCATGAGGTTAGAAATCAAACAAAATGTTCTATTTGCTCTATCAAAATCGCAAGATTGTTTTGAGTCGTTATCAAGATATTCAAAGAATTGCATTCGCAAAAAGCTTGAAACATTGTGAGTCTAAAAAATGTTGACGTCAAATTTCTCAAAACTAGATTTAGATACTGAGCAGATTTTAAAAAAGAAAAGTTGTTCCCGCATCCGATCCAGACATTGGGGATTGACTTGTCAGTGAGACAACTTCCTGGGCCTTCTGCATATTGTGGTAGGGGGGGGGCAGTTCCTTTCCACGCCGCCTTTACTTCCCCAACTCGAAGTCAGGTACCCATTACTGCTGAGTGGGCAGGAGGGGGCGAGAAAAAAATCAGTGTCCGAATCGAGGCTCGAACCCGGACTTTCCGCTTCGGAGACGAGTGCACTAACCGCTCCACCACCACATCCACAGAGCAGACAGAACTGTGTAATTCTGAGGTAGCTTTGGCAGAACAAACACCCAAAACACACTTAACAACAAAAAAGCCAAAGTCATATGTCATGGCTGTACGTGTACTATGACTCATCACACGAGGCACGTACTTTCTGTAACACACTCACACAATTATGACTCCTGGTTATTCCCTCAGCCACAGCTGCGGGCTATCAGGCGAAAATCTCCGCCGACGTGCGCTCACATCTGGTCACGTTGATGCAAGAGCTCATCGATCGAGGCAAGGTGAAGCAGGTGGCCGTCATTGAACGCGACTGCGAAGCCATGTTGGCGTCCGTGCCAACGTGGCCCCTAGCAACCTCCGACGTTTCCGGTCTAGTTAAAGCTGTTACGTCGACGCACCAGATGATGCTCAAGTTGTTTATCGACAGGGAGGTGAGTACTGAGTTATATCACCCTCACCTTCACCTTCACCTATCCCGTAGACATCGACAGAGAAGTAAGTATTGAGCTGTATCACCCTCACCTTCACCTTCACCTTCACCTTCACCTTCACCTATCCCTAGACGTCGACAGGGAGGTAAGTATTGAGTTGTATCACCTTCATCTTCACCCTCACCTTCACCTATCCCGTAGACATCGACAGGGGGGTAAGTATTGAGTTATATCACCCTCACCTTCACCTATCCCGTAGACAGCGACAGGGAGGTAAGTATTGAGTTGTATCACCCTCACCATCACCTATCCCGTAGACATCGACAGGGAGGTGAGTATTGAGTTATATCACCCTCACCATCACCTATCCCGTAGACATCGACAGGGAGGTGAGTATTGAGTTATATCACCCTCACCTTCACCTATCCCGTAGACATCGACAGGGAGGTAAGTATTGAGTGCGATCTGACGTAATTCTGCCCCTCCATTTGACTCAATTTGGAACTAATTGAAGGGCAAGGAAGAAAAGGTTGCATATGTGCTCTCAACTATAGTGAGACTGGTGTTTTGTCCTTCATTTGGTCGCCCATAGTGGGCACCAGAGCATCAAAGTTGTTTTTTTATAAAGAGGGCAAGAGCG